ACACACACACACACACACACACATAGTGACAACCTCGCGGGGATAGTCAGGAAAGCTCCATGTGACCTTCAAACGTCGAGATCGGATGAAAACTCGGTGTTTGCAAAACTGGGTGGAAACAATAACTTTCCGATTTTTGAAAATCTTCGATTTCCTTAGCGGGAAGTTAAAAATTAGACCACAGAGATGTTCTGAAAATTAAGGCTCAGCAACCTTAGAGTGTAAATATTAGATAATTATTTAAAAATTACAATATCTTACATTAATCCTACGGAATTAGCAACTAGGAAAAATCAATTCTAGATCCTAACAGTTTGTATCTTTAATTTAAAAAAAAATTAGAGTACTAAGCTGCGATAAAAATTTACGGCTTGACCGCCGTATAACATCATAATCAAAAAAATTCTCTTAAATTTAATATTTCTCAAATAAATACCAAGAAAGTAGCGACTTCTTATAATTAATTTATGTACCTGACAAGAACTTTATTAGCTCTTAAGAAAAAATCAGACCCCGAAGCTGCGCTAAAGGTTACGGCTTGATCGCTGTAGAGTTTAAAATTTAGCAAATTACTTAAAAATTATAACTTTTTAAATAAATAAAAAAAAAATGCTAACTATGAAGTCGACAAAAAATACCAAAAAATTAGCAACTATTAATAACTAATTGAATTACCTGACAGTTAGTACCCTACTAGTTACAGAAAAATTAGCCCTCGAAGCTGTACTAAAAATTACGGCTTAGCGACGGAAGAGTCTTCATATTAGCAAATTACCAAAAATTATGATTTTTTAAATAAGTAACAAGAAATTAGCAACTATTAATAACTAATTGAATTACCTGACAGTTAGTACCCTACTAGTTACAGAAAAATTAGCCCTCGAAGCTGTACTAAAAATTACGGCTTAGCGACGGAAGAGTCTTCATATTAGCAAATTACCAAAAATTATGATTTTTTAAATAAGTAACAAGAAATTAGCAACTATTAATAACTAATTGAATTACCTGACAGTTAGTACCCTACTAGTTACAGAAAAATTAGCCCTCGAAGCTGTACTAAAAATTACGGCTTAGCGACGGAAGAGTCTTCATATTAGCAAATTACCAAAAATTATGATTTTTTAAATAAGTAACAAGAAATTAGCAACTATTAATAACTAATTGAATTACCTGACAGTTAGTACCCTACTAGTTACAGAAAAATTAGCCCTCGAAGCTGTACTAAAAATTACGGCTTAGCGACGGAAGAGTCTTCATATTAGCAAATTACCAAAAATTATGATTTTTTAAATAAGTAACAAGAAATTAGCAACTATTAATAACTAATTTAAGTACCTGTCAATTATTACGTTGGTAATAAGAAAACAATTAGACCACAAAGCCGCGCTAAATGTTACGGTTTGACCACCGTAAAGTCTTAATTTAATCAAAAATTATCTATAAATTACTATTTATTGAATAAATACTGAGAAATTACTAACTATCAAATTATAACAAAATTAGACAAGAAGTATATTAGTTCTAAAAAAAACAATAAGACCACGAAGCTGCGCTAAAAGTTACGGATCGACCGCTGTATAGTCTAAAAATTAGCAAATTCCTTAAACATTATAATTTTTTTAACAAGGACCAAAAAAAATTAGCATTTGTTGATAGTTAATTGTTGTAACTGAAAATTAGTACGTTCATAATTATCAAAAAATTTTACCACCAATCTGTCATGAATAGTTACGGCTTGACCGCCGTAGAGACTAAAATTTAGCAAATTACTTGAAAATTATGATTTTTTCTAATAAATACCAGAAAATAAGCAACTATTTATAACTAATAATAGTTTCTAACAATTATTACATTAGTAATTATAAAAAAATTAGACCACAAAAGTGCGTTGAAAAGTTACGGCTCAGCCACCGTAGAGTCGAAATATTAGCAAAACACTAAAAAATTACAATCGTTCGTATCAACCGTACGAATTTAGCAACTATAAAAAATTAATTGCAGTACCTAATAGTAAGTATCTTAGTAATTAAAAATACATTAGACCATGATGTTGCTATCAAAGTAACGGCTTGACCACCGTGGAGTCAAGGAATTAGCAAATTACCTGAAAATTCCAATTTCACACATCATTTCTTCGAAAGGAGCAACTATAAATATTTAATTGTAATACCTGACAATTAGTACCTTAGTCATTATGAATAAATTAGACCAAGAAGCTGCATTAAAAGTTACGGCTTGACCGCCATCGAGTCTTAAAATTAGCAAGTTACTTAAAAATTATCATTTTTTTTATAAATACAACGTTGTCACCAATTATTGATAATTAATTACAATATCGGACAATAAGTATGTTAGTAATGAAAAAAAAAATTAGACCACAAAGCTGTACTGAAAATTACGGCGCAGCAACCGTAGAGTGTATTTATTAAATAATTAATTAAAAATTATAATTTCTTACATCAATCCTACGGAATAACCAACTAAAAAAAATCAATTGTAGTTCCTTACAGTGAATACCATAGTAATTATAAAGAAAATTAGATCACGAAACTGCACTAAAAGTTACGGCTTCACAGCTGTAGAGTCCGAAAAATTTGCAAATTACCTAGAAATTACAATTTTTAACATCAATCCTACAAAATTAGCAACTGTTGATAATTTATTAAATTACATGACAATGAGTACCTTATTAATTACAAAATAATGAGCCTACGAAGCTGTACTGAAAATTACGGCTCACTGACGGAAAAGTCTAAATATTAGCAAATTAATTAAAAATTATCATTACGTACATAAACACCGAAAAAATAGCAACTATTAAGAATTAACTGTATTACCTAACAATTAGTGCCTTTCATTCAAAAAAAAATTATTTGAGTACTGAGCTGCGATAAAATTTATGGCTTGACCACCGTATAATCTTATCTAAATTGATATTTAATTGTTGTACCTACCTGACAATTAGTACCTTCATAATTATCAAAAAATTAGACCACGAATCAGTCATAACAGTTACGGCTTGACCGCCAAAGAGTCGAAAAAAATTAGCAAATTACTTAAAAATGATGATTTATTTTTTTAAGGAGAACCGTCTCATATGGGGGAAAGTTCAAAAAGTGTCCAGCTGTATGCTGAGAATAAAAGAATAAAGTTTCCATTACCTACCAGAATAGCGTGAATAGCGCTGGCGTTCGAGTAGTTTCAATATGAACATAGCTGTTATAAATGGAGTGAAGTTTGCTCAGTTCAAATATTTAAAAATTTTAATGACTCGAGTAGTTAGTAAAATGCTAGTATACAAAACCTCAACTATTTATGTAGTCTAAAAAATGTTTTAGTAAATATAAACAAAATACTGCAGAGAGAAAGCGTAATTTTATTAATGTGAATTTTTTAAATAATTATCAATGATTTTATTGTGGTGATAGTTATTAAACGATATAAAATAATGGGAAAAAGTTGTATTGTGAAAAGTTGTCCTAGTGGACGCAAACTAAAAATTACAAAAAATGATCCGTCTCAGCATCTGTCTTTTTTCCAACCTTCTGTACGTTGAGTAATTTACTTTGAATTATTTATTTATTTTACGACACCCTGATTAAAAAATTAAATTTAAAACAATTCAATCTATGCAATGTGTATATTTAAATAGTATTTAACTCGAAAAATTTTTATTTCAAATTGTTTTTTACTCATTTCAAATGAGATTTATTAATCAGGGTTTAACGCTTCTTTAATGTTCAATCAACACATTTATATTTTAGTATTATATAAATTTATATTCACAGACACCGGCAAGATTAGACAAGTGGCAAAAGTGTTTGGGTATTAAATTAAAAGCCACTAATAATATTTGCCATCTTCATTTTAAAGAAGAACATATAAAATTGTACGACAAGTTTATCATTAATGGAGAGGTCAAGATTTTTCCAACAGTGAAAAAAAAGCTAAAACCTGAAGCTTTGCCAACAATCGAGCATCAATTTATTCCTATACCATTATATGAGCTCCAAGCAAGTATTATTGATCAACGACAAAAATCAACGTCATGCCACAATTACTGTGAAGACGATCAGCAGGATCGTCAACAAATAGAACAGGACTTGGAAAAGTCTCTGTTGAGTCAGCAGTCATACGACAGTTTAAATAGTCACGTAGAAAACGAAACAACTGTAAAACCAATAGAGAGTATAGAAGATATCCAGAAATGCCCAATGTTACCGCAGTTTTGGATGCGTGTAGATAAACCACACGGACTAGAATTTTTGCGAATGGATCCATCAGCCAAGAAAACGAAAAATCATATACGTCTAAATGAGGATTTATCATTAACCGTAAGTATTTATTAATTAATGTATGGAAAAAGTAATTAATTTTTTTAGTCATAAAAATCATTAATAGCAACTTTATTGCAGGTTATTTTTTATAATGGTGAAGAATTGTCTCTTGACGTTAAAATTAATTCTTTCAAAAATTATTTGCGAGTTCTTAAAATCTGTGGAAAGATGGCCATTATGCGTTGGTACTCAAATAGACAGTAATAAGTAAGAATATTTTTTACATATAAAACCAAGGAGCTATAAAAAGTCTTACTCATTTATAATACACTTCAAAAATTACATCAATTTTCAGGTACTCACAATTGTGTAAAGGTGTAATTATAAGTGACGATGCTTACCAAAGAAATCAAAGAAATCCAAGATGTAAATCATGTCGAATTTTACGGAAACGATTGCAAAGCCGTAAATCAACTTCAATTGTTTTAGAGAAAAGTACTGCTCTAAAACGGCGCGCTTGAAGCCTTAAAAAACAAAACAAACGTCTGAAGAGAATGGTAAGTTGAAAAAAAAAAAAAAACAATATTTTCTGTTGACTTCGAACATTATTTCAAACTTTACAGTAATTATCTATACAAACTTCACTGGCAATGGCGATTTTTTTTTTGGCATGTTGAAATTTTTGTAATTTTTATTTTATTGAAAGCGTGTAAGCTCTATGACAATTGTGAGAATTTTTCAGGATAATAAGGTATTGCAGATGGACACATTTTTTCAAAAATTATATTAATCACTTTTACTCGGCAAATTTTTGTTTTAACCTTGTGAACAACTTTCTTTATATATTCTAAACAACTTTTAGCTTGCCTTTACTATGGATGGTTACGTTATAAGATCTTCAGTCATTTTAACGTAAAACAATTACATAGGGTGAAGGCCATACAAAAGTACACTTGGTCTCAAAAAATTCCAAGACATTGAAAGAAGTCTAAAATTTTCAAGGACTCTTAATCTGTGGAGGGTTTTTGTTTGAATTTTTAACATTAAATATCAAATTAATGACATTATAATAGACATTATTATGGAAAGATATGTTTTAAAGCTTGAAGTTAAATTCAGATTGAGATGTTATCTCGATGAATTTTTTGTGACTAGTGTAGAAAATATCATTGCCAAGAACGTTGTCAATTTTAATTTTGAAATAACACAATATAATTTATTTCTTGTACAGGAAAAGCGTTCTAACGAAATCTTGCCACGACTATACAGTGAATGAAGAGTAAATTCTTGCGAGGACAGATACCTTCATTTATAATAATCTTTAGTACCAAATTTGGTATAAAAATATTATAAGTAGATAGTCACCCATTGAGGAGTACCATGACATAAACGTATTTTATAAGTGTAAATTAACTTACAGAATAGTAATGTAAGTCTCAATTGTGACACTTGTCCATTGGAATCATCCCATACACTATTGGTATTTTTTAATTTTTACTATACTTTAGAACGAATTTGTTCATAAATATTCTAAATATTTTCATTGAAAGTAATGATCATGTACATATCAATTGTAAATTAATTCTCCTTGTAAAATATTCATAATGTTTATATTTGTAAAGTATTTTTTTTACAATTGTAAATTTTGTGCATAAAAATTGTACATTTATTCTGTTGTTATAATATTAAAGATTTGTACATTGCTCACTGTTGATTCGTTGAAATGATAAATTATTTAGGTTCAGAAAATCATAAGAATACACACCAGAATATAAATTTTGTACCGTCTAATAACAAATTAATAAAATTATTAAACTAAATCTTTTTTCTTAAGTTATGTAGATTAATTAATAGTTATGAATAATATAAAACAGTTAATTGTTTCAGAAATTAAAAAAAAATTCACATATTATTCATATGCAAACAAATATAATTGCAAATTTTATACTATAGTATAAATTTAATAATTTTAGTTAAATTAAATAGAAGTCTTGAAGAATGATTGCCATTGCACTACAATAAAGGTTAATCAGTAATGCAGTTCCAACTTTATCATCTACTCCGTAATGTGGTGCAACTTTTTTAATGTTTTTTTTTTTTTTTATGAAAACCGCGACTTATATGCTTTATTACTTATTTTTAGAAAATTCGGCTAAAAGATAAAATCTTTATGGCCAAGTCTAAGTGTGCTCAAAAATCACAAGCTGTACTACAAGAAGCTATCAAAAATTTACCACTAGAATTTCAAACTGTTGTAAATTCCTGCTTCGAAGCTGCAAAGAAAAAAACATCAAAAGGACGGCGATATACATTAGAATGGATTTATGAATGCATGTTGATACGTTTAAAGAATCGAAATACGTATCAACTTTTGCGGAATAGAAAAATTTTGCCTTTGCCATGTTTAGAAACATTGAATAAATACATTCGAAAAATTAGCTGCTCTGCTTACGGGTTTCAACCGGCTACTTTTCTTAGCCTGAAAGAAAGATGTAAAGCAATGACAAAAGGAGAGAAACGTGGAGTCATTTTGGTTGAAATGAAATTAAGTGAAGGTGTTCATTTTGATCAACATTCTATGAAATTCAGTGGTTTTGTAGATCTTGGGCAGCACACCCCGGAAGAATTGAAAAATGAAACAGCAGATCATGCCTTAGTTTTTAAGTTTGTACCGTTCAGAGGAAGGTGGGTTCAAGCTTTAGGCTGCTTCCTTTCTAAGAATGCTTGCAAAAGTGAACCACTGCATAAGCTTATTTTAGAGTGTATTGTACTGATGGAAAATAGTGGAATCTGTATTGATGCCGTAGTTATGGATGGTGCACCGTGGAATAGAGGGGTTCGGAAAATTTTCGGTATTGACGACAAAAACATCAGCTGTGAACATCCTTTTGATAGCTCACGGCGATTGTGGATGATTTCGGATTTTAATCATTTAATAAAATGCTTCCGAACATCAACTTTAGATGACAAATTGCAGGAATTCCAGGTACAATATAAAGTAATGGTATGTCCTGTAAAGCACAGAAGATTATTATAAATAATGTTATTGGTGTTACAGACCCCTTATGGAATAGTAAAAAAAAAACATTGGGAAGCTTTATTAGAAGAGGAGAATTATCAAGAGGAGAAAGAGTAGGGTGCTTTCAACATGAAAAAGAATTAACTATCAAAATTATTGATTTTTATGTAGTGATAAGATCTCATTTTTTGGCTAAATCTGAAAATAAACGCTACGAAGCTGCCAAAATTAAGACCAAAGCAAATAGAAAAAATGCCAAACTACTGTCATAAGTACACAACTTGTTATTAAAAAAATATATTTAACTATATCTATTGTTGAAGATGTATTAGTTTATTTATATAATTTAATAATATATTATATTCGTAGAATTTCTTTTTGAATCCGTTTGTTGATTCATTTTACTTACAACTTGTTTATGAAATCCCAAAAAATTGGTTATTTTATTTTTGACAAACAAATTTTTAATAATTTAAAGTCATTACGTATTCTATTTGGAGCTCTTTCAAATTGACGGCATGAAAATTTCGGACTTTTTCATAACTAATTAAAAAAAAATATTTTTGGTCACACGTTCGTTAATTTAATTGTTTAAAACGATACTTTTCTAATTTTTAATTTATATTGTCTTTATGATTTCATGCATAATTGGAAATTTCAATATGACTTGTGAAAGAACGCGTTAATTTATAATAATATATCATATGAGTATGCTCCGATCATATATTTTGTTTGAAAAGTACACCAAGAGGAAGAGGAAATTGCTCGGTCCTTGTTTATCTCTCTATCTTTTTCTAATTACGTTTGGCGCTTTCTTTAAAATTTATCGACTGCTACTGCAGCGCCACTCTTACTTATTATATATAGATATATTCACAATGATAAAATACTTAAACCCGGGGTTGAAAAACTGGCCCTAAAGCAAGTTTAACAAAAATATGTTATTTAACAATCTTATTTTTAGTTATGTGCATATTGGTTACGTTATTATTTAGGGCCAGTTTTTCAATCTGAGATAAAATTTTATCCAGGATAAAATTATTATTGTCAGTATATATTTTTATATATGAAATATATAGATATATTTTATCATTGGATAAAATTTTATCCTGGATTGAAAAACTAGCCCTTAGTTGTTGAAACAAGGGATCATAGAATTTTTCTCACACGTGTCTTTTATGACTTTTCTTCAGAGTCTCAAGAACCTAAAGTTTTAAGGTTTCTCAGAACTCAACTACAATGCCCCTTTGTACTCAATAATAAATTATATTCATTTGAAACAAAATATACTCTATATAATAAATATTCTACAACATAAAAGTTAAACATTTTAATTTGGACAGTTTTCATTATTTAAATTTTAAATTAATAAAATATTTAAAATAATCTAAATAACATTTAAATTCGTGCTTCGCTGGCAGGTGGTGTCACCTGCTGGGCGCATTTAGAGGCATCACAATAGCTAGTTTATATGGGAAAAGGTCGATTACCTACATGCAGAAACATGCATATAATTACCACGACCACGACACGTAAAATTGTGACCACCACGAACTACTCGACTTGATTTCACATTTTTATTAGTACCCTTGGTAGCATTTATACTCAACACCGCAGCTTGAGCTCTTAATTCATTTAGCCTCTTCTGCAACTCACCAGCATCTTGTCCTTCCTGATGGGCAGTCATAAGATCTAATTCAGCATCAAGTATTTCTTTTTGAGTTTGCTCTCGAGATTTGACTAATAATTTTGTTCCACTAGATTGTCCATTCGCCGCAAGATCTTTACGCAATTGATCAATAGATTGTTGTATTACTTTAATTGTTTCCATTATTGCATCTTTCTGCTCTGGATTTTTTTCTGCTTTTTCGATTAGAGTGCGAATCTCCATTAAATTTTTATCCAAAAGTTCCTGTTTACGTTTTCGGAGATCTGCAGTTATTTTAATTACTTCTTTACGCTTTTGTTCTTGTTTTTTCTTCAGTGTTTCTTTGACCGCTAAAATTTCTTGAGTTTTTTTGATAGCATAAACTTTTTCTTCTCGAGTAGAAGCTATTGTTTTATTTTTCTGAGAAGGAATTATAAAATTTGTTGTGGATTGTTTTTGTTGATGTTGTTGTTGCTGTTCTTGTGGTTGTTGTTCTTGATGCTGCTGTAGTAGAAGTAAAAGTTGTTGCTCTTGTTTTTTTGGTTCTTGTTCTTTTTCCTGTTGTAATAATAACAATATTTGTTGTTGCTGCTGTTCTTGTGATTGTTGCAATTGTTGTTGCTGATCTGGTAGGAGCTGCTTTTTATTTTGTTGTTGTTGCTGATGTTCCTGATCTAGCTTTTGTTGGGATACTTGCTTTTCTTGTTGCTGCTGTTGTTTTTGTTGTGGCTGTTGCTCTTGTTGCTGCTGTTGTGGTGCTCGTTCATTTTCTTGTTGGTCATCATTAGAGCGGCGCGTGGGAACATATTCATTGTCATCTAATTTTATTGACAAAGGTACAGCAGCACCTAATCTTTCTTTGACAGATGGTCGACAGCCGGGTGGGACATTTTCAATAGCACTACTAGCTGCAGTATTGTTAATATTACTGTGCCAAAAAACTTTAATAAATCTATTATTTAAGACTGCTTCAGTACTACGATAAGCAGCTTTTGCTTCAGATGGCAATTGAAATGTTACGAGAGCAGCTTCCGGATCACCACCAAAATTGACTTGAATATTAACAATTTTACCAAATTTAGAAAAGTGGTTATTTAATTGGGTAATATTGTTCAAAGTACGAGGAACTTTTTTGAGTTCTAGAGAACAATTGGCAGAGTTATGATTGAGTCGTTGCTTAGGACCGAGTCGATTGAAATCGAAGGTTTGTTTTCGTTTTAATGAACTAGTTGTTTGGGAATGAACAGTTTCAGGAGGTTGTATATGGGGGATGACTGGAACGCGTATCAATTCACGCTCTCCACGACCGTAAATTCCCATATTAGATTGAGAATGCCGGCTCCATGATATCCTTGGCTCCATACTTGGAGCATCGGGATTGTATTCTGAAAATTATTTAATAAAGATCATTAGTGATAAGCTTTTACGAAACATGACATTCACTGAAGTCTCTCTAACTTTCACGTCCTACCATTTTTCACAACAAAACAGTAAAGAGACTCGTTTAATGTCATGTACTCACTGATTTTAATTCCAAAAATTATAGACTTGCCGCAATAAAAGTTGCAGTAACTCCTATCAAGAATATGACTACTAATAAAAATTCAAGGTAATACTGTCGATATTGATAGAAAGAAAATTTGATTTGTAAGTACGTTATCTCGACTGATTTTCGCAAGTTATAATTTAAAGATCATCGCAGTAGAAGGAGAAAAACAACAAATAAAATACTTTCTAGTTATGTATCTACTAACCATTACTATTACGAATACATACTCTAAAAGCGGACTGTTAAGAGTCTGGAACACAGCATATATTTTCTTATATTTTTCACTAAAATCTAATCGATAGTAATAATGATACATGATAAGTCCAGTGATTATTCATAAAGGTCTAAATAGAAATCATGAAATTTTCAAAGTAACTATTTTAATAATGGTTCACTGTAGCACTTTAAAGTACAATGCGATCATAACTTCATCGCAATCTACTGACATACCAAATTTTAATAAATTGTAATATAATAATTCTAAAACCGACATTAGAACCTAAAATAATGATGAATTTGACATACCCATATTAGAGTGAGGCGGATTCCGTAAATTAGGAGGTGGTAAATTTGCAAGAGGAACATGAGGTGGTTGTACGGTTCCATTTTGTCCTAACGATGAATTGGATATAGTAGGTACTGTTTCAGTACCGACAGTTTGACTACCATGAGGTCCAAATGTCAAAACTCGACTGAGTGCTACATCTTCAAGCACAACAGGATCAGTACCATGATCATATGGGCATAAATCTCCACGCATACAATACCCTTTTTCTAGATTAAAAAAATATTATAGTAACTGGTGAGTAAAAAATTTGATAATAACTAATAATTACCATCAAAATCACGACAGCGGCGTTTAAGTAGGAATTCTCCAATTTGATTCTTCGATATATTTGATGTTAAGGCAACGACACTTTGAATTGATTGGCTGGCTGTAGACAATCGCATATCGATATCTCCATGGTTATTGTCTTGAGAAGGTGTACCAGCTGGGCTTGTTTCAATGCAGTCTAATCTGCTTTCATCGACTAATTTTTCTGTTTTATCTATATTTTTTTTTTCAGTTGACTTAGATCGTGATCGGGAGCGGAGTGGTGTAGGAGATCGATTACGAAAACGGATTCTGTGATCTCGGCTATCAGCTATTTCCCGCACTCGTATCCGCAGAGAAGATGAACTACGACTGCGACTTCGTCTAGTATATGAGGACAAAAAAAAAGTTGATAGATGGTAGTATAAGAATTATTTGTATTTATTCTATCAACCAGCTGTTCCTCGCCCAATTCTCTGGGCGTATTACAGAATTAAATTTTTAGATCTAGACTTTGAATTTAACTAACACTTTTCATGAACTTCCGCGTTCTTACAAAAATAAATAATAAATAGTAAAAAAATTTTCAACTTCCCGCTCGGAAAATTGAAAATTTGTAAAAGTTGGGAAGTCATTAGTTTTACCCGTTTTTCGAAAATCGAGTTACCAACATATGTTAACCTTTTGAGGTCCTAGGAAGCTTCCCCGAATGTTTCCGCGATGATGTCCGTGTCCGTGTCCGTGTCCGTGTGTGTCCGTGTCCGTGTCCGTGTCCGTGTCCGTGTGTGTCCGTGTCCGTGTGTGTCTGTGTGTGTCCGTGTCCGTGTGTGTGTGTGTGTGTGTGTGTGTGTGTGTGTGTGTGTCTGTGTGTGTCCGTGTCCGTGTCCGTGTGTGTGTGTGTGTGTGTGTGTGTGTGTGTTGTTTTTTCGTTTTTTTTTTATAGAGAAGCGGAAAAAATCTTCGAAAGACACCGCTATCATTGAAAGATGATGGTCGGTAGTGTGGGATCTTTACCCACTAGAAAAAAACACCTCTCTCTTCCCCCGTGGATGGTACGGAGATGACTGGAACGGAACCGCGTTAGCTTTACTTCAATCCAGTCCATGTTGCGTCTCACGACGCCTACTTCTTGTGACTACTGGTTTCTAATCCCTTTCTGCAATTTTTTCTTTTAAAAGACGCTGCGCGTAGGCTGCGACAGCTGACCAGTTTTCTACCTTTTTGATCATGCAGGTTACCAAGCTCTCAGGGGAGAGCGTGTTGCCTATTGTTTCTTCAGTGCTGCTTCTGTCGTCCTTCGACCGATCACACTCGAAAAACGTGTGCTCGGCGTTGTCAATTTTGTCTGGGCAATATTTGCACGTCGGTGTGCTGTGCAAACCCATCTTGAAAAGATAGGCATTGAACTACCCATGTCCCGTCAATAGCCGGGTCAGGAAGAAGTCCGTGTCCCCCTGTTTCCGAGAAAGCCAGACGTTGATGATTAGGATCAGGCACGCCGTCCATCTGCCCATCTCTCCCGATGTCCATCAGTCCTGCCATTCTTGCTGCGTTTCCGCCTTTATCCTCGTTCTTGCGTCCTTCATGTTTTCGTCACTGTTTTAAGCGTCATAGAGTTTTGCTCTCTCAAACGTGAGTAGGTCGATGGGCGTGGCTCCCGCCATGACCAATACAGCCGCTTCGGAAACTGTGCGGTAGGCGCAGGCAACCCTGAGAGCGCCTCGCCGCTGTACTGCTGCGATTTTTCGCCGGTAGATCTTCTGATTTAATATGTCTGCCCATATCTCCGCTCCATAAATCAGTACCAAGTGGACTGCTTCTAGAAGAACTCATCTCTTTTTTGTTCTTGGTCCCATAGTGTTGGTCATAATTCATGCTAGGCTAGACACCGTCTTGCTGGCTTTCT